GTACCTCCACTACGTTTTGCAGTGTGGACCAACGTAGTGGGGGTACATTTTCCCATGAGACTGGGTTGAATGATCACAATTTTTTTTATATGGAATATTAACAATCATACACCATTAGTAAATATGTTGTCATTAATAATAATTTAACTTTATTGATCTCACACTGGAGAAATGTACCTCTGTTCTAAAACCGAAACATAATCTAAATGCGAGAAACCCATGTTTAATTTTACCAATATAATTCAGCAGTATTTTTCTTTTAGTGTGGTGACCTCATCAAAACCTGTTAGCTGCATTTACAAAAATATTTTACCCAATTTTTAATATTTATGTCATTTTATTTCACAACAAATTCATGTTTACTTTCTTTTCTGACAATTTTAACACAAAACTTTTAAATAAACCTTACATGATGTATTTTCATTAGTTTAATATAGCATATTTTTTAAGACAGGTTTATTTATTTAGAATGAATAAAGTCTACTTACTCAAAATCAATATTAATTAGTGTATTTATTTCTAATATATAAAGTTTATTGTTTGAATTGCATAATTATAAGCATTATCTTCATGCAATTGAAACAATAAACGTTATTTATTGGAAATAAATACAGTAATTCATATTTATTTTGAGTAAGTAGACTTTATTAATAACATGAACCTGACGATTAAGTATTTTGACTAAATATGCTTAATTATATAAATTAGTATACATTATGCAAGGTTTATTTAATGGTTTTGAATTAAAATGATCTAAAAAGTTAATTAGTATTTTTCATATAATAAAATCACATAATTCTTTTTGTGATTGTGTGGAGTCCATGCTGTATCGAGCCTCATCCTATCACCATGGAAACACAATAGTCTAATTGTTTAGCGCAGCCCTGGGTTAACATAGGTGTAGTTAGCATTAAAAAACCATCGGACTGATGAAACATGGTGGTAATGCATCATTCTGAGGGAATAGAGCCAAACTGGTCAGAATTGACAGGGTGATATTTTATGCAAAGTAAAAGTATTCATCACTAAACTCCTTCCACAGAATGATGTGCTACTTTGTGTCTGTCTATAACATAAGAAGATGCGTTAAGGCTTTCTTCTGTTTTTTTCTTATTTCAAAATGTGTTGAATATTCTTAAACATGTAGGTATGACCAAAAAAATAAAAAATAAAGAAAGAACTAATCCTTTAGAAAAAGGACTGGGATATAAATTCGCTTTAACTTATGTTCCCTTTTTCAGTTGCTCTGTGGAAGAGAAATCCCTCGCTGGGTCAACAGACTGGCATATTTCAGCTCCTGCATCCCCTTTCTGCAGAGCTGCCTGCCCAAAGAGTGGCTAACCCCGGCCGCTCTGCAGAGCCACATCAGCCTCGGCCTTCACAAAGAAGAGCAGAACGAGTCGAGCGACGAGGACCCTTCGTCGCCGTCCGGGGCGGCTGGCTCTGGCTCCTCCCACAAATGTCGCCACACCCGGGTCTGAACTCAACCCTCGTCTTCTGAACTGTGGACTCATCTGTCACTGCTACCGGTGACCTCAGTAGGCTTGAGCAACCATCTGACCTCATACTGTTTGGCCTCTGAATGAAAAGAGATGGGGTGAAACGAGTCTTCTCTTTAGAGCAGGAACTGCTGACAGACACTTCAGACCTACAGACTCCCCGACAAACTCTGAGACTTGAAGGATGACTTCAACAGTAAATATAGATCTGAAGTTTGTAGTATAACATTCTGAGTCTTTTACAAAAAAATATCAAAACCTTTGTCAGCCTTGTTCCCTGCCCTGCCTTCAAAGCTGCTTTTGTAGGAAAAAAAACATTTCTAGATAGTAAAATTACCAGGAAACTGCTAATCTCTGCAAGTCCTCGATAAATAACCTCTATGTGGCCTTCAGATGACATTGCTGATTCCAGTTTCCTAACATTTAACTACTCTTTGGCCAATTTAGAGGGTGAACAGGTCAATCAGGCATGGGGGTTGGAGTTGTTATTTATTTAAGGGAAATGTTGCATGTTAATAGGATGTCAGAAATAAGGCAACTTAATTGTAATCTGTAACGAAGTATGTGACCCCTAAAGATTTTTTAATCACATTTAAATGATCAGAAATGAGTTATAATCTAAGTTATAATCTAATCTAATCCTCCCTACAGTTGCAGAGTTAATAAGCCATTAGCTGAGTAACCAGTTTTCTAATGGTTGCAAACAATCAGAGGTAAATGCTTTTAGAACAGCTGCTGCTCATTGAGCCTCAAGCAGCTCGGTCGTTTTCTCTGACCGTCTCAGAGAAAACGCTATAGTTGCTCTTAGTTACCAACTACATTTTCTGACTACTCTTTTTTTATTCAAATGATCTTTATACTGTAAGCTGCTGATGGATAGAAAATGTTGGTTTCCAGCCAGAAATGGCTCCTCTTATAAACTCTGTTTTCACCATTTGAACTGCAGAAATAGAGGTGCTGAGAAACAAAAGAGGTGGAAATCTATTATTTTCTAAACTTCAAGAGCCTGATATCCAGTCTGTGGTTATTTTCAGAATAGCATTAAGATTGGCCACAGCTCAACCAACCGTATTGACTTTTTAAACTGTTTCTTGTTCATACAGAAAATCGTGAAAATACGGATTTCTTTTTAGAGTTTATGTGCTGAACTGTGCTTAGTTTAGGAACAGCTGCATAGGAAGAGAGGCTCCTTATGGGAGAAGTCTCATAGTTTAGAGGATAAATAATCAGCTATAAAGAAAAAGATTGGTTTTCCCTTTGATTTATTTTCTTTGTGATGATTATGCAAGCCATAGACATGCTGAAAAGAAGATGATACCTTTGGAGAGGGATGGGCTCATCTTTCCACACATCGCAGATCTGTCCACAACTTGCTTAAACTCTTTTACTCAAAAGTTTAAAAAAATTCAAAAAAGGATACAAGTCGAAATATTTGCAGTAAAAAAAATGCTGAATTGAAACTGACTTGAGAAACACTCTTCATAGGGCATTTTCATAACAAGAGCTTCTGAACCTGGAAGAATATTCTGTCATTTGGAGTATCTTTAATACGTTTTTTTTATTTAGTTTAGTGTTATTTGGCTAAGAAACGTAAAGAAATCTCTGTAAAATATGTTCTCTCATTGGTCCAGCAGAGAAGTAGGAGTAAATTGTGCACTATTAATATTCTTTAATACATACTTCTACTTTTCACGCCATATTCCTCAATCAATTTTCCTGGGTTCTTATATGATTGACCAACATAAAGGATAACATTGTTGCCACACTGGAAAAAAATCGAAATCTAGATAAGTCATTTTTTTCTTAAAATAAGTGCATTTGTTCTTGGATTAAGGAGGTAAAAGAGACATTTTGCCAAAAGAACAAGAATATTTAGATTTAAAATAAGAAAACACAATTGCATCGTCTTACTTCAAGTGCATATTATCAAATTATCTTATTTTAAGAGTAAAAATACTCATTCCATTGGCAAACTACCTCATTTACGTACTCGAATTAGGGGTAAATATTCTTAATTTAAGAATTTTTTTCTTATTTCTAGATTGCTTTTCCAGTGCAGTAAGAACACAGTAATATAGTACAGTTTTTTGGGGGGTTTGTATAAAATCGGTTTTAAAACTGTGGCATAGGTTTGAACTTCAACAACAGGTGAAAGAGTTGAAAATGTCATTTTTCTCAGCCATCCAGGTCATGGCAACAACAACAGGCTTATATTGAAAACAAGAAGAATTTGGTTTGTTTCCATCGGTTCTGACTGCTTGCAGTAACCTGGAGTTTAGGAGATCCTGTTTAAACCACATGGAGAAGCATCCTTCTAGGATCATTCGGTGTGAGATGCAAATCAAGCACCCACTCTTCCCTTGGGTCATTGGAATCTATTGTTTTGGAAGAGTTGTTTAACAGGTTATCAGGCGATTGCTTATAAATTAGTAGTGTCACTTTGCAGAGTATCACACTTTGCCTTGAAAGACCCATAACTCAGGATTACGTGTGAAGGCGGCAGCTCATACCCGACTTCAGCACATGATGGCTTCCTCTTATTTCAGCAGAGGTGAAACCTTCTTACAGCTACTGTTTGCATTCTCTAACAGGTTCCCTTCCAGGATGTTCTTGAATCATTAACTCTCACCAACTCAGACCAGCTTTTCTTTGAAAAACTGGTTTTTCTTATGTCTTTCTTCACATAAACTGTTTCTTTTTGTATTTTTTTTTAATATATGGACCTGATTTTTTGACAGAACCATTATCGATCCAGTTTAAGATTATTCCAACTGAGCTGTAGCTCATCCAGAGTAACCATGTGCCTCTTGGCCTCTTCTCTAATTAATATAGCAGCCTGAATGCGAATGAAATTTTCAGATCTTTATTTATAAAAACACTTTGAAAAGCCCATGTTTTTTATTATTATGTTACACTTTGTGTTGGTCTATCAGATTAGATTCCAGTAAAAAAAAAAAAACAACCTTGAGTATTGTGGTTTAAAAAAATAAAAAGCTGAAGGACCAGGAACACTTTACAATGAAATTTGCCTCTTTTTAGCAAGAAAGATGCAGCATTTACTGTTTTCAGAATTGCTTTGTGTGCAATTATTCGAGATTTTTCTGCTCTTCTTCTGGTGTTTTGATATTTATCTCAAACTTTCAAATGCATTTGTTCTTCTGATGAAAACAAATTCTGAAAGCGTAAATTTTAAACGTGAAACATTTCTTAGTGGACAGGTTTGTATTGGAAACATTTCTTCGCCTTTTTTAGGTGATTCAGTTTGCAGATTCTTAACAGTTTCACTTCTGCCCTTTTTTTTTTTAAACCCAGGCAACATTCTTATCACTAGACAGGTATTTATTCTTTTCCTCCGAAGTCCCAGATAGTTGTTTATCTACAGATATATCAGTTCCTCACCCCCAGGATCCTAATCCTCTTTAGCTGACACTTTTCTGTTACCCGGCCAGAATGTGTTCTTCTGTTTTTCTGATTTCTATTAAGACAATAAATCAAGTTTTATCTGCGATTAAAGACACAATGAAAGACAAAAACATAAATGACAGGTGCTCAGATGTGAAACTGGCTTGGATTGGTTCTGTCCCAGTTGGACTAAGGTATCAGGATTGAAAAATGTTTTTTTCCCAGCTGTGCTGATTTGCTGATTTGCTGAACAGCCACCCTCTCAGGAAGGAAATCACGTGGATTCTAGTACAACTGGCCGCCCGCCATTCCTGCTAAACCCCACAGGGATTAAAGAGGAGACTGATTATTTTATGTTGTTGAAACAGATATACGCTTATTTACTGATATGCTTTTGTCTTATATTTCACAAACTTTATTGTTTTCTAACCTTCAAAATTCTCTTTGAACTTTGTGCAGCTGTATAGTGATTGGTATCAAATCCTGATATTTTTTTTCCCATACAGCAGACCAGACAATTGTAGGAGGTGGTGTTCTGTTCAGTTGTGTCTGTTTAAAATTGTATTTCCTTTTCCCCAACCCCATAAATCCCAAGAATGATGATAAAAATAGAATAAAGGGATTGACTGCAACTAGATCTTGTCTTTATTTTGTTGAAAAAAGCTATTGCTACACGAAAAGCTACACTGCAGCACTTTTAATTGTATGTGCATGTTTTATATGTGTTATGTATTGTTTTATGGCTTTGTTGTAAAGCACTTTGGGTACCATTTGGCTATTGTAAAGGGCTATACAAATAAATTTGATTAGATTTTTGATTTGATATTGATGGACATATATTTAAAAACTTAAATTTTAAATCAATCAAATCACTTTTAGGCCCTGTTACTAGCAACTTGGCACATATATACTCTCTCACACATGTCTATCTATAAATTCTCGTCACTAGAGCAATGCCTCTAACAGTGATACTAGATAATATCGCATAGAAAACAAATATTGCTATATACTGGTTTAATTAAAACCTTTATTTGACTTTATTCTATTACTTGTACTCGTGCTATGCTTAGACATTTATCCATTGTTCTAGATTTGGGATAAATTCACGTAACGCATCATGTTCATGGAATACGCCCAGATGGGTTGCCAAGTAGTTGCTACATTCCTCTTTAATAACGAAAATAATTTACTCTTGTTTTTATTGTTTTTTTACCTTACAAAAAACATTCTTTTTTTAAATAAGTTTTATTATTACTAAAATCCTAAAGTCTTTGATGTTATAGTGGTAAAATACGCTGAAAAAAGTATTCAGCTTTTGACGGTCTCGAAAGGGCATTTCCTACCTACCTGGCAACCAGAAGGCAGGCGTTAGTTTTTCCTCCTCTGCGGACTCGATCGCCATTTTGTTCCAGTTTTTTCTGGGTGACCTACATTCAGTCGACATACTGCAACGTAAACAACATTTCGACCGTCCTTAAAGGGAGAAATAGGTAAGGACACCTAAAATTTACACTTCAACAGAAAAAGTCAACATATTTTTAAGTGCTTAAAACCAGTTCACCGTGTTTTGGGCTTTTAACGTCGAATATTTTCGTTTTTAATGTTAGCCTTCGGCTAACTGAAAGCGACCTCGAGGTGAGACGAAAAAGAAACTCATAAAATTAGGTTTCGGTCAGAAAACTGAATCTAAATTAGTGTTAAAGAAATATATATGCATTACATCCTGTATGTAATTTAGTTTTAAGTCTTGTATTTTGCTTTGTAAACCATCATAATTAGATAAACGTATTGCGCAGTAACAAAGGTGTTTTTCCACAGCGTCTCCTTGTAGTGAGGCTCGAAGGCTCATGCAGGCCCGAATCCCTTTACCATAAAAGGCTAAATCCCGTCCCCACTCTTTGTTTATTATTTTTGTATTATATCTATACGGAAAGTAACATTTTTGGTAAACCGCTTTATATAGCTTTTGAATTGCAATAATTGTGTGAAATGTAAAACCTGGCTGTGAGTTTGCCAACAAGATAAACCTGTTATGTTTGATTAGTGACAGAGTACTTTAGATAAATATATTAAAGGTCGTAGCGTATGACAGTCATTTTTTTTATCTGTACCATTTATAATTCAGATGACGAAACATAATTTAAATCAACTCGATCACATGAAGCATAGCTCAATTTTAATGTAGAATTGATGTCTCAGATATAAATCTATGGGGGGGGAAATATACGATATTACATCATTGAAATATTCCTGCCAGTTGGCTGTTACTTAAACAAATCGGCTTTAAAGCAACTAGTTTAGTTTCTCGTTCAGTGTCTTTCAAGTGTGGATATTTTTAGGCCGAAAAAAAACGCCTGTTGGTCTTCTTTCATTTAGGGAGGGGGAGGGGCAATCCTGCATTATTCTAAGCTCTAAAAAAGCAGGTCGAAATTTTGATCCTTAAAGGCATTTTATCATATTTAAAAAGCTCTGAAGTAAAACTTTGCAATGAAAAAGTTTAGTGTTTTTAAATGATTCTGAAAGAAGGGTGTAACTTATTCACCTGAAGGACATTTCAGTAAGTTAATTATTAATTAAGTTCCTGGAGATGGGGTGAAGAGTGACTGCAATCGGTATTAAGATACTAGCAATTATAATGAAATGTATGTTAGGAGTAAAAAGGGAGAAGGTTAGCTTTTATTTCCTGCAAACTTGCAGAACCACCCACGGGAAATTCTTTTATCTCGTTGACCGCCATTGTTTGCAAATTTGCATGTGATCTAATTTCAGTAAGGAGCAACATGAGCAGCCGGATCTTCATCGGCCACCTGAGCACACACGCTCGAGAGAGAGATGTGGAGAAGTTTTTCAAGGGATATGGACACATAAAAGAGATAAATTTGAAAAATGGATTTGGTTTCGTGGTAAGTGTGATAAGACTTTTTGGGGAAATTTTATTAGATTCCTCTTCATTCTACGCCCTCTAAAAAAGTTTTTCTTTGCTAGGAATTTGATGACCACAGAGATGCTGACGATGCTGTGTATGAGTTGAATGGGAAAGAACTGTGCAGTGAAAGGTAAAAATATTTTCTTAATCGAGGACTTGACTGTTTAGTGACCTTCAGAATTGTTTACCAGGGCAGGGGCATCTGACTAACCAGAGAGCAGTTTGCTCCCTCATGACTCAGCAGTTTTATTGGTCTTGTTTTTATAGACTGATATGTTTATTTTAGAGCTTTACATGTTCTTCCTTAGGGTCACCATTGAGCACGCCCGCTCCAGGAGAGGAAGAGGAGGCGGTCCTCCTGGAATGGGACGTTTTGGTGGCGGCGGCGGTGGTGGTGGCGGCGGCGGCGGCGGCGGCTTTCGCCAATCCCGTAATACCAGAGCTAGGTAAGTGAAACAAAATCTTTCTTTGTTGCATCTCAGGGAGTCTAAGAATGCTTCTTTGTTTAGTATAAAAAAACATTGTTTTCTGACTAAATAGTCTTTAACACACTATATAAGTGGGACTCTTAAATAAAAAAAAAAATCCAAATAATAAGCAAGAAAGTAATCGAATTGGTATGACTTGGACTTGACCTAAAATGTGTTCTACACATCGTACAGTTTTAGATGTTTTTTCATATATTTTTGTACAGGTATGGCCCCCCCATGCGAACGGATCACAGGCTGATTGTGGAGAACCTCTCATCCCGGGTCAGCTGGCAGGTATGAGATTAATATGGCATCCTGTCACATGTTTTTATAGTTAAGTCATTGTTTCTTTTTTGGCTGTTGATTGTATGAAGATCATGTTAAAGAAATTACTAATTTTTGTTAATTGGCAATTTTTTTTAAGAGTATAATTTACTAGAATCACTTTTTTCTAAAAGAATGTTACTGTTAGTATGTTACCAAAAAAATTTAAGCTTTTTTTTTTTTTTTTAAATAAACAGCTCCTCTGGTATGGTTTCCTTTTTATATCAGAGGTAAATAAACACCCTCCACTTGGGTGTCAGAAGTATTTAGCGCCCTCTGCTGGTCATTTTTCTGAATAGTGTCCATTTGGTGCCTTTCCTTACACGCAGTTGCTGCCGGTCTAAAGTCTTGGCTGGTCCTCGTAGAGGTGACAGTGGTCTAGCGCAGGATACGGTAGCCTTAGGAGGGCCGTAGCCACAGTCTGGAGGTTCTGTGGGCTGGCATTCCCGGCTGCCGGAACCCCTCTCCCCCTCAATCCACGGTCTCCTACAGTCTCTCATTTGGGGCTATTTCTGTGGCTGATGGAGCTGGGGGGGTGTTGAGGCGGGCACACAACACACCCCCTACTTTCTCTCTGGTGGTTCCTTACTTGAGGAGGTCGGATGCTGATGCAAGGCTGAGAGCATTTCTCGAGGGCGTTTCTCAAGGGCTTTACACTGCATTGGTTCCCATTTGCTATTTGGACAAGTGGCTCTATGCTATTATCTACCTGGGTTTGGAGCGGTAAGTAGCATAAAACTCATGTGATTGGGTTTTTTTTTTTTTTTATAGGGTCGGGTGGTAGAAGGGTTGAAAGTTAGATTCTAAATGGTATAATAATTGACACCTTCTAAATTATGTTAAAAAAAATTTTTTTTTTTTTGGGTAATTTGTTTCCTGAACCCCAGTAAATGGGATCTTTATTCCATAAACTCATGTACACATATTGGGCTCACAAAAGCAAGTATTGGCACCTTTCTAAAAAAAGATTTAACACACTGTAGCATTAGAGGGCAAAAGCTCTCGTCTTTATTTTGGCTCTCTTGTTTACATTCCCTCTACTGAAATAGGATCTTATAAAAAAGACGGTAAGAGGTTAGAGATGGGTTACTTTTGTATGTTAGTTTTTTTCTTTGATGCCAGTCCTTTGATTCCAGGTCAGAGAAGGCTTAAAGGGACGCTTCGTGTTAAATTCTCCTACTAAGTGTTTTTTATGTTCTTGACATAGGATCTAAAAGACCTGATGAGAAAGGCAGGTGAAGTTACCTTTGTGGATGCACACCGACCCACTAAAAACGAAGGGTGAGATGTTCGACCAAATGAAAGGCTTTGGTATCGTTTTGTCCAAAGTCCGGATGCTCATTGTGTGTTTAAATGCAGGGTGGTGGAGTTTGCATCTCGATATGATATGAAGAATGCCATGTCTAAACTTGATGGAACGGAGCTGAATGGGCGAAAACTGAAGATGTTTGAGGACAGTAGGAGGTGAGTCATTTTACTACTTAGGTCGGAGGAAATGGAGGGAAACGAGTGTAATAAACATAATATTTAACCTAACATGGTAAAGGTTTTAGGTCAGCCAAAAATACAGTCTTAGTGTAAATGTTGCCATTGTGTAGTTTTTATTTTAATCTTGTTTTGTCTCTGTTCTACCAACAGAAGCCGTTCTCGCAGCTACTCCCGCTCCAGGAGCCGCTCTAGGAGCCGTTCCAGGAGTCGCTCCAGGAGCCGCAGTCGCAGCCGCTCCAGGAGCCGCTCCAGATCTCAGAGCCGTACCCCAGAGAAGAAAACATCAGGAGGGAGCAAACCCGAAGCTAAATCCCCATCCAGATCCAAATCCCGCTCAAAATCACGCTCCAGGTCTCGCTCTCCCGCTCCTGTTCAAAACGGCAACTCCGGCTCCAGATCACGTTCCCGCTCTCGTTCACGTTCCCGTTCCCGTTCAGCCTCGCCAGACAGCAAAAACTAAGATGGAGGCAACTGCAAGTCCTAAGAAAGATCCAGAGTAGTTTATGAGCATCTCGGTGGCATGTGCGTTTGTTATTAACAAAGAGGAGAAAATACCCTTTATGTGGTTTTCTTGAAGGCAGAAAAAAAATGTGTACATTTTTCTTTATTTTTTGTGGTTGTTTTAAGTCTACTAATTTAAATATTTGATTTCTCTGGCCCCTTCATATCGGTAGTGAAAAATATGTCTGTTCAACATGAGCCGCATAATTTGATTTTGTTTAAATTTAGCTTTGCTCTTCAATGTTGATTCTGATGAGGCATCTGTCCGCTCCTGAATCTCATTTGTATTTGGAATATGTGAGCAGTTCAGCTGAAAATCTGTCCTTACACCTTTATCAAAAGCTTGAATTTAGTTTTTCCAAACGTCTTATTTTAGTCAGTGTTTTGACTGATTACTTTACTTTTTCCTTTGGAAATCTGATATAAGTTTGCTTGTAAATGTTGCATAAGTAGATGCAAATTTATATATTGTAATTTTTGTTTACTACGTGTTTAAAAAAAGTCACACAAATTGTGTTTGCATTTAAACTTAAATCTTTCCTTTTATTTGTAAAGTTTATCGATCCCTCTGTCCTACACTTACTGTGCAGTACAAATGTAAACAGTTCATTTTGCTTTATATATAAAAAAAAAAATAAACTTCACTATAAAAATACATGTTTGAAATTATTTTATCACATCAGAATGGAATAAATACACAAAAGCTAAACAATTGTGAGGACCTTTGTGTCTCACATGCAATCAATTTATATTGGGGAATATTTAATTGCAATTAGATTTGGTCATAAATCCCTTTAAACCTTTTGGTCTGAGGTTTCCTCAGCCTTTTCAGTTACTCCTATAACTGAGACATTGCAGTTTGATTAAATAAGCCTCTCGTATCTAATCTGGCTGTTTTATGCCTTGTGAGGAAAAGACAAATGTGCATTGTTGGATCTGATAAGAGTATTAATGCATTACTAAAAGTTGTTGGATGACTAAATTGGGTGAAATCTTAAATTGTTTAAAATGGCTTATTTTGTTCACTTGCAATGCCCAGCTGAAACAATTTTTATGGAACATTATGGGGTATTTAGTGTTGTAATATGTTTTATTGCGGCCCCATACAGCCTTATATTTATAGCAAAGCATAACTTCAGCTTTGGCCAGCCTCTGCTTAGCTGGATGTGTTTTATAGAGTCTGGCAGCCTCGCTGCTCAGATGGCTTTAGGAAAGAAACTGATTACAGAATGCAAATCACAATGTTTTCTTTCAGGAAGTGATTTAATGTTTTTGTTTTTTTCTAAATATCTGACAACCTGCTGTAAATTTAAGGCGAGACGGATCTGCTTTCAGTTCACCCTTAATAAACAAAATTACCTGGAATGACAGGTATGACATGATCAGTAAATTAGTCGTAATTAAGAAAAAAAGTTAAACAGTTTTCTATAATTCCAAAATCCATTAAGACCGATCAAATAATACAAAAAAGGTTCCACATTTTGATTAAAACTATCCATCTTTACTGTAACACTGAACTACCATGTTCTGCTGCGTAGTATGGAACTGGATAAAGCAAAGCTGAGGATTAATATAGTAACAGCTAATCCAACCAGGCATAGTAATCCTAAAGAGATTATTTTCATGCATAAGATTCTGAATGGCAGTTACAGTTCAATATATACCTCACCTGAAATAAGATATTTGTTTAAAAGATATATATTTATATAAAAACAAAAAAATCCTAAATCTACTGCAGTGATCATGGTCACCACAGTGTGGCAGCACTTCCATGTATCTTGGATGAGCAACATGGATGGTTTTCCAAGAGTTTCTCTGTTTACGCCATAAAAAAATGTTTAGGCAGTAAATATTTTCTGTTTTTCAAAATGGAAAGTGCTCCAACATGGAAGCACAAATCTCAAAAAAAAAAAAAAAAAAAAAGAGATAAAGCAAACAATTTTTTAGGGAGTAGTCTAAAGGGAAATCATCTGTGATATTTACTTCTGTATTAGGTCAGTAGAGCCAATGATTCAATATGCAGGTTAAAATGAATGTACTGTATGTATGACAGGTGAATATATGATGGATCAACAGTGCCACTCAGTAAACGCCTCTCATTGACCTTCACTATCTGGTACACTCTCATGAAGGTAAAACCTTATAAACAAGAATGAAAAGTACACAAATCCTTATATTTATCCTGCCATTTCTTTCTAAAATCTTCACATTTTCTATGAGACTACTTCCTATTTAATGTTAGGACTTATTTCACCTAATGTGTAAACTGAATCTAAGATAATGATAATAATGATAAAGGATAGTAACTAGAAAGTTATCTGCATAATGCCTATTTATATTTTCCCTATCCACACAGCTTTTACTAGCAGTTAATGAGGCATATGGAGAAGTGTATGAGGGATAGTTAGTGCCCTCCATACTGGACCAAAAGGAATTCCTCTGCTATAAAACAGTAAATCCTTGGTTGACTAAGTGCAAATCTCTGTTTGGTCAAACATTGTCACAATTTTTTTTACTTATGCTTTTAAAAAAAAAAAAAGGCTTGCGCAACGGAGGAGTAGCCTGTTTTCAAAAATCTTCATGTATTTCAATTTCTATTTGGAAGTTGAAATTCCCAAATGCATCTAATAGCAAATAAACTATGATGGCTGGCTGTGTTGAAATTCTGAACGGTTTCACAGCAGTACCAATCCATGATCTAATATGGCTGCGAAAGGGCATAAAATATAATGAAAGTTCCTGCAAAGTGCACCTTATTTATAGTACAATACAACATAGATCCATAAACATATTAAGTTATTTATGAAATGCACAGTAAAAAAACTCGATGTTAACAAACACAACTCTAAATGTATTTACAACTACTCTGAGTGTAAATCTGTGTTAATGCTGGAGTAAATAATCAGTTTAAAATTTGTCATCCATGCAGTGTAACTTTTAATCTATATGGGCTTGATTTCCTTCCAGTCTCTGCGAGGTCTTGATTTTAACACTAATATGAGTAAAATTAACTCTGAAAATCTGCGACAGGGTGGTACCCTGTCCAGGTTGTACCCCGCCTCTCGCCCGTAGACAGCTGGAGATGGGCACCAGCCCCCCGTGACCCCGACAAGGACAAAGCAGGAGAAAATGGATGGATGGAACTCTGAAGATCTGACTCTGGCTATAGAGTCAAATTTACACTCATTTGGAATTGAACCAAAACCAACTATATAGGTGTTAAAGTAACACTTCTTCGTTTACTGTGTGCAGACAAATAGTGTCATCAGCTTGTTTAACTAATAATGTTTTGCATATTTACTAGACGCTGCAATGGCCATCATCATTTTCAACCTTGCAACTTAATTTTTGTTGAGTTAGATCAGACCTTACTTTCTGTTTAAGTGGCTGTAATTGGAAGTAATGGAAATAATCATGATGATTTGTAGCTTAGTCGCTGATTGGGTGAAATCATGTGAGGCATTTATTGCTGACCAACTGCCTCCTTTAGTGTCAACCGAATTTCACATGTTCTTTTCTCTCCAATTTCTATTTGAATCATCAAAATGAATATTTTTCATCCACAAAAAGGTAAACAAAGCAAGATACCAGAGAATAATAATAAAACTACTATTTTTTCAAGTAGACTTATGGAATCACAGGGAAGACTGCTAACTTGAAAAATATCTAAAGAAAGACAATATTTTATATTTACACAAATGTTTGAGACTCTTATTTTAGAATAAGAAAGGAAATTATTCTTAAATGATGTTTTTTTAGAGGGTTGGACTGTTAGAAAATACAAAACAATGATTTCTAATAGCGGATGGCTGCTGGAGCTTTCTGAGGTGAGTTTCCACCATAGGAGGCGTTTCACTAGCAGAGAAACTGTTTCGTCTCTTTTTCAAGCTGATATTTTTAACCTGTATAACCTTGTCCAGGATTAAAGTTCGTCCAAACATTTGAGTGTTTATTTTCTAATTTGACCAAGTGCTGCTTTTGAATGTTCATCATTTCCTTTCCACTCATCCAGTCATACTGAAAAGTCAATATTCCCCTGATAAGATTCATCCAATCAAACTTTAATTTATCAATATTTCACAACCTCTGCTTGTCCAGCATGCCCAATGTTTGGACAAGCATTGCCTTTTTACATCTATTATGCTCTGCTCTGTTCTTCAGGCGGTTGGTTAGGGAGAACCACGCAGAGTTAAAATACATCTACTTGATTCTGGGTTTTTTTCTTCCAGCTTTATTGTCATTACACTGTCACAAGTATAGAGCGACAAAATGAACTCTCTGCATTCAATGAGTGAATACTGTGGGCTGCCATTGTGAGCCCCCTGGGGAGCAGTCTGGGGTTAAGGTTCTTTGCTCAGGGACTCAGAGTGGCAAGCTGTGGGAGTGGGGCTCGAGCTCAGAACCTCTCAATTCAAAGAGCAGTGCCTTAACACAGAGGTCACAGATTAGCGGAGCGCGGTCCACCTGCTGGCTAAACCGGACTCAACCTGATTTAAAAACATTTATAAATGACTGCATGTTGTCCAACGACAGTGTCTAACTTCACTTGCGCCTCTTCTCCTGTTAATACGG